CTAATATAAAGAATCGTTATCAAGTCAATAAAGAGATTTAATATCAGTTAAAGCATTTTTTATTAATAATTCTATATCACTGGTATAACATGAAGAAAATGAGATAATACGTGATAGACGAGAATAAAAATTTTTCAATTGATTCTATTAAATATGGAGAAGAGAACCCGTAAAGCACTTTGAAGAAGTATATTGTATTTTATAAACTATCTTTGTGATAATAGACGAATGCGTAAGAATTTACTGCGTCTTTGTCAAATCAATGATCAAAGAAAAATAATACTTATTACTTTAAAACAAAATCCACCTTTAATAAAAAAAATTTCACTTTCATTTATTATGATCTCTTCGGTTTTTAGCATATTTAAATTTGCGTATTATAATACTTATTAACATTTTCCTAATAATATTAGTAAAACGCTTGACCACAAAGTTGTTTACGTACTGGTAGAATCACCCGAAAAGTCTTGATTCAGTGTTTCCGAAATTAAATCATTACAAATTTTTAAAGGATTTTCCTATAATATGAAAACAATCAATTAGTAATATTTAATGGACTAGTATCAATTACACATTGATGTTGAGAAATTTAAGAATTTTGAGTTAATAAATTTACATTCATTGTAGGTTTCATAAAATATATATATTTATATTTTAAATAAACAAAATCATGTATTTATAAATTTAATTATTGACATACCTTGAAATATCAAATTCAAATTCCTTTGAAATATATTCATATTCTAGCGAATAAGATTCAAAAAATTTTTTGATCAGTTCAATTAATAAAATTATATTTAATGAAGTACATGTACGAACTATATGTATTTAATATTATTAATATAACCTGTTTCTGGATACTGAGAATGTAATATAGAACTATTACATGATAAAGACGAGCTAAATATTATAAATGTACAATAATTCAAATTAAAAAGAATAGGGACTAATATATAATTTATTAATAATTACCTATGAGTATTAAAATCACATTCTTCTACGTTCGAAATATATAATGGCATTATAATATAAAATAATTAATAGTTTAGTTTAAACTCGATTACCTATTCTTTCAAATAATTGCTTTAAGCGAATATAATTTATACCTTGTTTCATATAATGTGGATTTATGGATAGGGATTTAGAAATTAGATAATTTAAAGGTTTACTTGTATAGATTGCTTTTGGATGTTTATCAATAAACTCGGGACCAAGTTTCTTTGACTTTATTAATTCCAATCGTTTAATTTCAGCATGATTAAATAGTTCAACGTTTATTTTCCTATAGTACCAACCGCCAACAATTTTACGAACTTCTTTTATAGAAGGTCTTTTTAAAGGGTCAGTGTCCCAACATCTTTTCATTAAATTCGCATAGCATTCAGGAGTATCGTGTGTAATTTCAGGTCGATTTCCATCAATAATATGGTAAATAAGTTCATGATCTTGTTCAAAATTAGCAAAAGGTTTACAACCTGTTGTAAGTTCCCACATGATCATAGCCATGCTATAAACATCAGATGCTTTTGAAAATGACGCACCATTAAATACTTCTGGTGCAAGATAAGATATTACTCCATATATTTCATCACTTGATGAAGTAATATTAGCAGGTCGAGATAATCCAAAATCTCCAATTTGCCATTGATAGCTATATGCATTTGTTTCGACAAATAATATGTTTCCACTATGAATGTCTCGATGTATGAGTTCCTTATTGTGAATAGTTTCGAGCCTAATTTCAAAATAAAATGAGTTTTATTTTTTTTGTAACGTAAAAATTAATAAAATATATGTAGATATTTAATACCCATCTAAAATATTCCATAAAACTCTTAATTTTTTTTTATTCCACGTTATTTTTGTAAAATTACTTTTTAAATGATTATGTAAATCTCCTCCTGATGCATAATCCATTACTAACATATAATCACTTGTTTCAGGATCTTTTGTTATGCCATAACATCTCATGACACGATTAACTTTACTATCAGAACAACAAAGATGATGTGAACCTAACTAACGATATAGTTTAGGGTATTTTAGATTATTTCATAAAATTAAACAATAGACATGAAATATTGAATAATTACCTCATTTAAGAAATATTTGCTAGCATTCTTTGAATTTAAAAACTTTTTAATAGCAACAAATTCATTTGCAATTAATGATTTATTATTTTTAAATTTAAGTATGCCACCTAAATAATTTGCTTTATAAATACTTCCAAATCCCCCTACTGCTATCTTTTCTAAATTTTTAATTTGAGAAAATGGAATCCATTTAATTATAGAACTTGAAAAAATAGGATTTTCTTCAAGATATTTATATACATTTAATGGATTATGATTTGTCACGATGTTATTCATATAACCGGCAATCTGACCATTAAATTTTGTCTTGTTAAGAAACTCATCCATATTGTTGTTCCCACTGCTTATAAGTGAAGTCTCAATATTGATAATTTTTGTCCTTTTGCATTGTCTACATTGAGAATTATTTGTAATTCCGAAAATAATATTTGTTGTTAAACAATATCTGCATCCATTATGAGTTATTTGGCAACATGAGCACCATTTCAGCGAATCAGATACATGAATAATGTCATTTCCACAAGTTCTGCAATAAATAGTCTGATCCCACCATGGTAAATAAAGAATTGGGATATGATTTTTCGCTAAAGATGGTTTTATCCATCCAAAAGAAACTTTATAACAATCTGAACATATCTCAAAGTCCACATGAATGTATTTCGGTATTTCGTGATAAATTGATTTTCCACAAAATTTGAAATCCTTATTATTTGTCAATATTTTTAATCTAATTTCATCCATATAACTGCGTATTCCTGTATAAACTTGTTTGAAAAATAAAATAACGGAGCAACTTTTGCACCATTTGTTAATGTCTTGTGTGAAAAAATCTTTATTTCTGGTTGCTTTATGTTTATTACAATAATTATTATTTGTACCTATGAGTACATCCAAATACGTATTATCATCATTTATAGAACTGACATACTTGGATAAACAATCTTTACAATAAGCTTGGCCAAAGTAAAGTGTCTGTGTGTATCTATTTCCACAATGGCATTTATGCTCTTTATCAAATGGTATAAAAGTTATTGATAATGGACTGGATTTTAATTTTGGAGTTTGATCAAATGAATTTTCACTATTTGTAATGATAAGTTTCATATTTATGAAAAGCTTATTTGAATACCTCACGACATTTTATATTTACTGTATTACACAAATAATTATGATGGAATTTGCGGATATTTCAAATTTAGAATTCTAAAATTCTATTGTTTGATTGGATCAACTGTTCATTCTCCTGCATTGCGTTACATTAGGAATATCTATATTCATTACTTCGTAGGCAAATTCCGAAAAACTTTGATCATTAATTTGTACGTAATGATCATTTGCGTCACTTAGTTTATTACCGAAATAAAAGTTTGGCAAAATATAATTTCAAAAATGTTAATCTTGAAGGCTCAGAAAAATAATATAATTACTCGAAGTTATTTAATTTATATATTCAATTTCTTTTAAAAAATATTCAGAACGAAAAATTTCAATAATTGTTATAAACCATGAATAAATAAATATAACAATTAATTATCATTAACAATGACGAGGCAAGAAATGAAAAATTATTATTAATAGCGTCAAACGAATTCAATTAGAGAAACAAATAAGCTGCTGAACAAATGACAAAACTCCTCGAGTCTGTTTATTTTGAAAGTATAAAAGATTTTATTTTTCTGATAACGATAAATTAAATTAAGAATATAAGTTGATTAATTGGCGCAGCAGTTCCCGTGTCGATCATACGCTTAACTGTTTAGTTCTCCTACATGGAAACATCCATCCTCGATTTCTTTATATTGGTAATGGGAATCCTTAACAACATCGTTTTTATGATGTAATTGTTTCAAATAGCTCTTTCTCGATTTGTTCGCTTGAGTTGTTACCTGCTGATTAAAATAATTCATCTGCAAATTATCATCTTCATATCACTACTTTCAACACTATGCTCCTATTATTCGATGTCGTCATCTTCAACACTCTGATGATCCGTATATTATTATCCCAATACAAAGTCAGAAGACTTTCGAAATATATACTGGCATTAAAATAAAAATAAAAGAATAATAAATAATTACGTTAAACTTGATTATCTACACTATTTAACAAATTGTTGCTTTCAAATACCATCCGCCAACAATTTTTACGAACTCTTTTATAAAGGTTTATAATTGATACAAATTCAGATTTATGTGCGCGATAACTCTGTGAAATCTTAGCGACAAACCTGAATCTAAAAACTAGATCTTTTGATGATGATGCATGAGATTAGAGCATATGTAAAAAATTTATTGTAAACAAAATTATGAATTTGGTGATGTTGATTTACGCGTTGTATTCAATGGAACAAATGCTACTTTAAGGTGATTCACAATCACACAGAATAAATAGATTTTCAAAATTTTAATGACTCAAGTAGCTTTGTCAAAAGAAGTTGTAGTAGTTTGGTATGCAAAGGATTTAAAGAATCTACTTATGATAAATACTATATAAAATATTTCGAAATAAGTAATTCATATCAAATAATAAATTCGGTAAAGAATCAGATGATAAATTTAAATATGAAGAATATTTGTTGTAAATTAAAGGCGGGCGAAGATGATTCCATGGATAAATATCCTAGTATACTTAATCCAAATATTTTTAACTAAATTGGTGTTCTTTTTACTAATTTAGAGTCTAATGTTGGAAAATAATTGAAAATAGTCTAAAATTACCATCATCAACATCACCATCACCATCACCATCACAAACAAATTTAATCACCATTTACATTATTATTCACCTTTTACCAAATCCACATTTCCCGTTTCAACAACAAAAGTTCAACAAGGTATTAAGGAAGTCCTTTTGATCAAGATTTTTTGTTTATGTTATAACAAAAATTGAATCTTTCTAAAGGTGTTACCATACTCGAAATTGTGATTACAACAAATAATATAAACAAATATAGATTAAAAAAAAATGACGCCGAATAATACAGTCCCTTGGAGTTGAGAATTTATGTTATGTATCAGAAATCTGATATTTATAAAAGAACAAAGCGTATGATTGTTTGGATTATTAGATAGATAGTAAGAAATTTATCGTTTTGCAATGTAAGGGTTAGGATACGAGTGGATTAAACAATCGCTACAATAAGTATTAAAGAACCAACAAATATTTCACGATTGGATTTTCTCTTTTAAATTTTAATTAGCGTATTTATTATTTATTGATTATACATGAAATAGTAAATCATATGATCCAAAACGTGATATTATTAGCAACTGCCAATAGAATAATGTGGAAATCATCCTACAGTTTTAATAACATAATTTTCCTTTGATAATGTATTGATTGTTTCTTCAGTTATACGATTTCTTCAAACTTCAAATGCTTACAATTCATGTAGTCCAATTCAAGTTTTATGGCCGCATGTAAAAAGATAAATATTCGTAGTTGTCCAATGAGATGATAGTACTGCCAAATATGTATCTATAACATAAAGGGTAAATTAAATTAGTACGCCGGTTTTTTTTGTTTCGAATTAAATATATTATACAAACTTTATCAATCCTTCGAATGTCTTCGGAAAAACGTACTCCATCACGAAACATAGACGATCGAGCGTAGTGAATTAAATAATGTTTGATCTTAAATGTTGGCGAAGCCTTTAAGCCTTGTCACATTCTTTGATGAAATTGATTAAAACTATAAAGATTATACTTTATATATTATAAGGAGGGTTTAAACAATTTCAAGAAAGCCTCTATTTGCTCTGAAACGTCCTTGGATGATAAGGTCATTCGAAAAAATAGTAAATGATCTTATAAATTGCAATCACTGACTTGCCTTGGTAAATTTTATAAGTGCGAAGTGAATTATGATAAATATTTATCGGAGGTCTTATTTTATAAAAATCAAAAAAATCAAATTTCATTAAACTATGACATAATGATCTCGATTATTATAAAATATTGTATAGACAAGACATTTTATGTTTATTATTATTTTCTGTTTTTTGGTTATTTTAATTTGCTAAAAAGTTCAAAATATATCTTTTTAGAAAACAAGAATTCGTTCCGAAAATATCATTCTTAGTTATATCGAGAATTTAAAAGATAAAAAATTATTTTTTTTCTCGTCTATTTTTTTCCAGCGTAACTTAAAAATAAACAAGTCCACAAATGAAATCAAACAACCATTTATAATATGTTTCATTTTTTATGGTATGTATACATGTACTTTAAAAACTATTCATTGTATGTATTTTATAACAAATTGTCCATCTTGTATGATATACATGTATAAAAAAAAACTATACTAAACAGGTTTTCTATATACCCATCTACCAGTACTTTTATTCAGTTATTTCAGATAAAGATAACGATTCTGAAGCTGAAATAATTTTATTTTTATACAGTCCATATTATAATGATCTATCATGTATAGATTTATAACATTTCACGTCAATTCAACGTACACAAAGAAAACTTCAATCTTAATTTTATAAACAAATATTAAATTTGTTTATACGGATTTTTCTATTGTAAAGTAATATTGTCAATATATAATTTTATTCACCTGTTGTAATAAAAACATTTCACAAATCCAATGTTCATAATGGTTATAATTTATACTAAAGGCTAATGGAATACTTAATATCTTGATCTTTTGAAATGTGAAATCATTGACAGTATTTAGATTTAAACCTTAAATTTAAAAAAGTCTAATGCTAAATAATAAACATACC